CAAACGCTTCCTTGCTTCATTGCGTGCTGCCCATATAGTAGGATGAATGGTTTGGTTAGCAAACAGAGTTGTTGTTTTAATGTTTCCCCTCTACCTCTTCATTCATGGGCTCTGTTTTGTAGGTCTAATGGCCGGAAGTTGACCTTTTAAGCTGCAAAACGTTGCGATCTTGGCAAAATATGCTAGGTCTCATATTGCGCAGCCTGGGGGACGAGTAACTCGGCATTTTCTCTCGCACGAGGCAGCATGTCCAGAGATGATTTGTGCGTGCTTACATAGCATGGAGTCAGTCTGGCTTTCAAGTATGGTGCCTTAATCACACCAAGGCTATAGCGCGTAATCCCACTAGTACTCTAAAACTGCTAACCTTTGCGTGATAGCTGTGCAGCAACTCATTGTTTATAAACGAGTGCGTTTGCCTACAGCACATGTGAGCACCACGCATTTTCGCATGAACTTAATTCTTTAATAGCGAAGCAACTGGTCACGCTGGACGAATGGATGAATTATAGAGCTAAACCTTCTCGAACGGGCGGTGACTTTCTCTACATAATCAACGGTTCTAATACTACAGCAGTTAATATTCATCTTGTTAAAAAAAAAAAAAGACAATATCCACAACAGCAGCAGTATTCTATATAAACGTTCACATCCGCTTGAGGGAAGCGCTTTTTTTTTTTTTTGCAACCGGGTGCGCTCACTTTTTACCTTAGGCATGTCTATACAGGGAGTGAGGGAACTATTCATCCTTCCCTCGACTTGTGCTTTGTTTGACAGTTAGCGTGACCCCAATGGCGTGAAGTGAAAGATGCAAGTCACGTGACGTTCGCGAGATCGCAGAATTATTCATTTGGTTTGGACCTCGACGGATGAGAGGCAGGCGCTCGCCGGTTCGCTATTCGTCTAGGGCACTCGGCAGGTCGTCTCCGGGCGATCTGCCGGATGCCCTATAGACGAGAAGCGCATTTCGAGCGCTTCTCGTCAACAGTCATTCTCATGTGAGTTCCCGCCTCCGGTGACTGTTGTCTGGAAGCGGGTTCGAGCTATGAGACCGCCGTGAGAACTGCGCCGTGTAGGAACTGTATACGCCAGCTCCGATTGCTCTTCCGTCAAGGCTGTCATCCGGTGCCGTGAAATCCTGTCTTCCCGACTTCCGTTGTGCCCTCTTCGGGATTGTAGACAATGCGTGAGAAACAGACTTAGCCAAACGTCATGTTTCGCTGAGTGTAAGAAACCACGTCCTTTTATTCGATGAAAAAAAAGTAAGGTTGACACGCAAAGAATCATGCGCCGTAAAATCAAAGAGTGAACCGTGTTTCTAAATACTCTCGTTCTGGTTCATGGGCTCCAAGTGCAGGATTCGGTGGTATGAACCCGGGCTTTTGTGTAGGTACGAAGTGATTCCTTCCTGCGCACCACGCAACAGTTGAAGACTTGTCCCTCTTAACGTTCCCAGCGTACCGCATTTAATAGCGTCCGCTCGCACTGAAAGATCCAGCCAACCGGGCTTTCTAACTGGCTGATGTCGATCATTTTAATGTTCGTGAAAAAAAAGTATGTAAAATGTTTACGCGGGAACTCTGAATGGTTGTAGTCAGATACGAGTTAGTGCGTCAGAAGCTATCTTCCAGCCCCATCACCGTTCGTCCGCGATGCGCAAAACGTGCGCTAGCGAAGCACTCGTCGTCATGCAGACGTCGCATAACTGGTCATAGCCTCTCCTGGTTGCTCCGCGGAGCAATTCCATGACGTGGCTGCTACGTGGTGGTGTTTATATGGTGAATTCTTAACTTGTATTACACCTTAGTAAATTACGATGGGCTAAGATGAGATCTGCGGCGCTTCAAATACGCAGGGCGTGCCGTGTCCCGAGCATTTTATTATCGCAGCCATGAGAAGGCCGATGAACCAACCACGAAGCCATCAATAAACCACACACCACATTTCTTAACTTGTCAGTGACTCTAGAATTTTCTAGATCAAGTTGCCCTGTGCCAGAAATCGAGGTTTTCCTTTTTGTGCTTCCTTCTTTCTATGCAACAATTTACGCGACGCAGCATTCCAAGAGTAAAACTTTGTATTCGTAAATATGACCCGCAGCTCAGTAAACATAGATGGCAGCACGGAGGAGGCGATTATCTAAACGGTCTAAAGCATTGGGTCTGTTCGTGAAAAGGTTCCGACACCGTAAACCGTACTTAAAGGGACCATGAAACGATCCTGAAATCGAATTTCATCCACCGATCGTCGGAAAAGGTGTGAAAAGAAACACAAAAACACAAAAATAGGGAGCCAAAAATATTATTCGCTATAGAACTTTTAAAAGAAAACTGGACTCGTTTGCGCCTTATTTCCTTCGAAAGCTCTCTGCCTTTTCACTGCGATGCATCCGCGGAATCGCAGCACGTCAGCCGAATCCACGTCGCCTATTAGGTAAGAGCCTACCTCACCAGCACCGTGATCATAAACAATAAATAGCTGGCGAATTTTTCCTGAAAGTTTTGTTAAATAATAGTCAGATCCACATTTTGTAGCATAATTAGAGATGTGACGAAAATTGCCAAATTTGAGCGCCATCTATCGTGTGGTAAATAAAGGAACTACTGCGCGTGCGCAGTACGGCCGACAGCGTCGCTCAGTTACTTGGGTCGCGACGACCAACGAACGTTTATTTTTCTACGTGTTCTTCTTGCGCGTCCGGACTTCAAGCAGCGAATAAAATACTTGAAACAGACCCCGACGAAAAAGAACGTTGGATCCACAAACACCCCAGAAAAGCGATAACTGCCACGAATCCACCGACCCCCGACCAAGCGAGCTCGGCAGATAGGCCTAGCAAGCACTCCGACTCGGCGCAGCGTTGATTCAACGGTACTTGGCCAAGACCGTTTGCCCACGACCGACTGGCGTGCTGAATGGAATATGCCCGCGCGACCCTTGTGGACCCTTCCTGTATTATAGTTTGATCGCTGACCTCAATTTTAGATTACTAGGTGAGGTCAATCTCTTCCCCTTGTTTTCCGAGGCAGTGTTGACGAACACTGTCGTTGAAAAGGGACTCTCGTCGATTCTATCTTCTTGTTTTGTGTGATATAGAGCTCAAATAAACGCCGTTTGAATTACCTTCGTAACACGGTATGTACAGTCTCCGGCGATATGAAAGACCCACTGGGAGCGCGTGGCCGAGGCAGTGGCTGGCGGGGGCGCTGCGAGCGCTCCGGGCAGTTCCATTCTGCTTCGAGGGGAGGACGCTCACTCGGCACTCGGCACAAACTGATAAGCGCGTCTCGCTTTATCTGAGCCCGAGTGAGCGTCCTCCCCTCGAAGCAGAATGGAATTGCCCGGAGCGCTCGCAGCGCCCCCGCCAGCCACCGCCTCGGCCACGCGCTCCCAGTCGGTCTTTCATATTGCCGGAGAGTGTACACTTTGTTATTAGTGTGCCATTTGTATTCTGACACGACTGCACGTCACTGTCGAGCTATAACAGTTCGTGGGAGCTACGTGCAATGCCGGTCTAACCTTCCTTTGTCAAGTGTCACGTCAGTATCGAGTTGCAATCGTAAAAGATCGGTCCCGAAGCGCTTACCAACAGCGCGAATACAGCACTTCCATCAAACGCCCGCGTCCGCTCCGAGTGTGGACAGGTAGTTACGTGGCTCTTGCTGACACTGTCGTAGTTCAAACGTATCTTTTTTTAACGTCGGCTCGCACCTGCATCTCCGAGACCGCGAAAAACGCCGCGGCAATTTGTTTCCATCTACGTCGCTTTGCAAACGACTGACACGGGCCGCCTTTTACTAACAATGGCAGTTGGGTTGACTTCTGGAGTCTTCACCGGAAGACTCGCCGCACTTCCCAACAGGCATACCGGCGTATGGGACAAGTCCCATGCTGTCGCTGTAACGCAACATATCTTATTGAATTTCGCTCAGCTGTGATGTGTCCATGGCTATCGCGGCGATTCAAAAAATACGTCGGTGACATCAGCGCCATCAGCGTAGTAAAACCTACCGGCGCACCCCCAACTCGCCGCCGCTGACGCTCCCATACAGCCAAGAGAACTCCCGGTTATTGTGCCAGGGTACGTCACGACCGTCAAAATTACGCGGCAACTTGTTTTGCGGTCATTTGGAGAGGAAGAAAAAGTCGATATTTCATTTTTTTTTTGTGTACAGGTTAATAAACCGAGACGAAAACGGATGCCTGTTCGACATTCAGTGAACGTTGAAGGTCTAATGTAAAAGTTATTTGGCGAAAGTAAAAAGATCATTTCATGGTCCCTTTAAGCAGTGTATGAGCTATTTTGCGAGGAGCGAAAGTATGCAGGCGAGCAGGTTGGGAAACATCGTATCGTCTTGTCCGTTATTTTCTTTCTCCTTGTCTCAGGGTTCAGATTATGATAAAAAAAAAAAGGCTGTGTTGTTCCACCCCCTCGCTTTCTTCCTAAAGGTGGTTGCCCCCTTTGCAAAATCAAGTGTAACCGGTTTATTGTGTGGCCGCGCAGAAGTAGAGACGCAACACACACAGACACACACACGCACACACACACACACACACAAACCATCCAGTTGACGAAGCTGCCAATTTGACGATTTGTCGCCCCGGAATAAGTTCGGTCGAATGGTTGACGGCGAGTTGTGGCGGTCTGGAGCCAGCGCGGTGCGGCGCCCATTCTTTTCCGGGAATGTGGGATACCGTTGGGCAGAGGCTGGCCACGCGAGGGCCGCCATTGCGGATGCCCAGGTGGGAGACCAGGTAGACAGACGGACTCCATGTCCCCGCTCCCAATTTCCTCGCCTGGTCAGTCACCTTCTCCGAGCGAATATCCGCGTGCCGGAGTGACGGCCGACAACCCGGAGGGCCTCTTTTTGGGACCGCTTGTACCCAATCATTATCCACCTGGTTGATCTCGCGGCGGCGCGGAGCTGATGAAACGTTGCGTGCTCTGTGCTCTTCGGTCTCACGCGGAGTGGTGACAGGGGTTTGGGGCGGCTGTGCAGGAAGTGTGCGACGCCCCCGAGCAGCTGTCTGTCGCCCGGTGCCCCTGCGAACGGAATGCGCCCGCGTACGGCGAGCCTCATCAGCGTCCTGGTGCTGCTGCCTGCTGTCCTGGGCAGGTCGCTGGTCGGACAGGGAGCGCGCCCGCGCACCTCGGTCGGGGTGAGTGGCTCCGAGGACTTTCCCTGTCGGTGGTCTCGCAACGCACGCTGCCCGGGCTACCCACTTCGCGCTCGTGCGCCGTCCGCCCATTAGGGAGTGGGGTGAGCCGCCCTGAAGAAACACATTGCAAGGCGACGGCGACCGCACGGGGTACCGGAAACGTCGACGCGCGCCATACGGTGCCCATGATCCGTGCATTAGGAGTAACGGCTCGCTAAAGTTCCCCGTTTGATACTGTCAACGACTTTATTTTCACGGGCTCGATATTTAGCGATTTTGGCGGTGTGTGCAATTTAGGATTATTTCGCGGTTACAAAAGTTCGCGGTTAGGAGTGTTACTCTACTACGTATTACTTACCATATGGTATTATTGTAACGAAGAAAACGACGTTCAACGACCGCCGACGGGGGCAGAGAAAAGAAGACCAAGTTGGCATCCCCAATCTTGGCAACAACCGCAATTTCTTATTTTCTTCAACGTACAGACAATGTTTTTATTAGGATTCTAACAATATATTCGCGGTATCTACCTTTCTAATTATTTTTCTATGTAGCGAAATTCACTAAAATGAGGTCCTTACGAAAATTGAGCTTTTTTACAGCATTTGGTCGCATTCTCTCGTAGTACTGATTTTTTTTTTTTTTTTTGTGATTTTAGCGCATTTAAATAAACGAGTCAATTCTTGTTTCTGTTCATTCCATTTTGGATGTCCCTAAACCGGAATGTCATCGCATAAGTCCCTTTCAGTAATAAGCTTACAACAACGCCTTTCGAGCTGAAATAAATTTATTGGCTGTGATAATAATAATTGGGCTTATGGATATTTATACAGCGTGTAGTTGGTCAGCCATTTTCAAAGTTGCGAAGAGTCACTCGCTGTAGATGAGCAATTTAGCCAGTGCAGTAGAACCGCTAGCTTGGGGTCTTTAACGTGCACCACGCAGTAATGATACACGACCACACGCCTGTACGATGCTCATCCAGATCGCAACGGACAGGGGTGGGGATTGAACCCAGGAGTCTGGGTTCTGCAGCGCGAGCTTTCGCTCCACGTGCTCCGAGCTGGAGTGCGCTCGAGCCACTAAATCAGCTGCGCTTAGAGTATCGGCCCTCCTAGAGCCACTAAATGAGCTGCGCTTAGAGTATCGGCACTCCGTTCCCCGGCATTGTTGTGGGCGCCGCCATATTGGGGCTTGTGCAGAGCAGACGCAATTGCAGATCGTCATGATTCAAAAGTGCGACTTCCTCAGCATTTGATTCGGTATTAGGAAGCTCATGTAATATTGCTTTTCTCTGTCATGGACTGTTTATACATTTTTGGAGGACGGAAAAGCGTTTCCTGGTATTTCAGATAAAGCTTCAGATAACTGGCAACCATGATTTTAAGCCACAATATGGCCAAGTGTCGTTACTCTGAAGCGTAGCTTATTTAGTGGCACTAGGCCCTCCGTTCCCCGACATTGTCGTGGGCGCCGCCATTTTGGTGCTTGTGCAGAGCAGACGCAGCACCCGATCGTCATGATTCAAAAGTGCGAATCGCTCAGCATTATATTCGGTGTTAAGAAGCTCACGTAATATTGCTTTTCTTTGTCGCAAACTGTTTAAACATTTGTGGAGAACGGAAAAGCGTTTCCTGTGATTTTAGATTAAGCTTTAGATAGCAGGTAACCATGATTTTAAGCCACAATAAGGCCAAGTGTAGTTACTCTGAAGCGTAGCTTATTTAGTGGCACTAGTGTGCGCTAGCCCACTAGGCCACCGATCCCCCCTTTATTGGCTGGGATCTCACGTAGTCGCTGCTCCTCCGCGATGAGCCAATATCCCATAGCTGGCGCGTAGCGCTATAGTTACCTCCCAGGCGTTCTCTTGTTTACGAGACTCCCTGCCCTCTCTCTTCCCACAGCTTTTCCTGTCAAAGACACAAAGGGCCTCCCGACCAGGTGAGCACTCTTTCAGCTGCAAGTGGTTCCGAAGCACGCGGGTGGATCCGAGTGCTGACGAGCCTTTGTCGTTTCGTCACGCAGGCAGTCTTCTGCTCAAGTCGCACCTGAAGCTCCGCAACACACCTCCAGACGTGCTCACCGTGGCCGAGTCTGAGTCGCTTGTCGTGGAATGTGAGGCCGGCGGTAACCCTCCGCCAACCATTCACTGGCTGAAGAACGGTCGTAGGATCGACCAGGTACGGCGCATTCCCCTCTACCACCGCAGTGCTACAGCCTCATTGACGGATTATCTACAGAGATATGCTGTACCACACCAGGTTAATATTCGCCTCGAGGGCCGCAGGGAACATTCTAGACACGAACATCTATTTATTGACTGGGATCGTTCGATTCACTCGCACCAGCCTGCACCGGTGCAGATAAGTGTAGCGCGATGCAAAAAAGTGTGGGGCAGTGTACTCCCGGTAGTGTATTAAAATACGCTGCACCCGTAAAGAGCAGTGTGCACCGAGTAAAGCTGGTGCAAGGAATGCGGGGCAGGTAACTCTAAATCCGCGGATACATCGTACAAAAGACAGAACACTGTCTAAGGCGTGTTTGGCGCTGTCACAAATATCCGGACAGGAGCATACACATGAGGCCTCAGATGTCGTCATATCTGCAGACCGTGTCTTTTGTAGAATGCATGAGCAGAGTGACAGTGGCTTATTGAGCCCCAGTTTTATGTATCATCCATGAGGAACTGACCCGTGCTCGCACATCAGATGATGATATACTCCACTATATTGATATAAGGTATACAAGGAGCGCTAGGGTCGAGGGAATTTAGCTATGGAGGCTAGCTGTCTCCTTTGCAAAAGCTACAGCGGTCGAACAGCGGCCACCGAGCCTCTGACTCGGCCTCCGTACCGTTTATGCTCCAAACTTAAGTAAACCAAACTTAGTTCCGCTTTTCAACGTTGTTTTGCTATTTTCGTTTGTTCAGCCAACAGATGAGCCCGAACAATATGTCCCACAGGGAAAAATATAGGATCTCTAGTTCTTAGCGTTGCGAGCTGCTTCCACTGCATGACGAACGCTGTAGCTTACCATGGGCGGTCTTTAACCCTCTGCCTATGGCAAAACGTTGCGCTATTCTCCTTTCTGTCACTGCGAGCATGGTGTGAAATAATGCAGCTTATTTGCAATATTTGAATACGCGGTAAAAACTACTGTCCGTGAAATCCCCAGATTGAATTCAGATTGACATATTATAGCAATTAACGGAGGCACCCAAGTGATTGACAGAGCCTTGGTGGATATCGTCCCCGAAATGCGACGTATCTGCGCTGTAACACTGAGAATGTCGTCCTAGTGTAAATTTAATAACACCTAGACGCAAGACCTTGGCACTGTTCCCTCTCCACAACAGTAAACGTCACCCTATATATCAAGACGCAGCTGGCCATTGGCCGGGCCAACGAGGTCACCCAAATATGATAACAAATGTGAGATTGAGCGAATCAACAGTAGCACTGGCCGTTATCAGACCTTTAGGGTGACGTTATGCGGAATGGTAAGCAGGCCTTGTCAGTATCTAGCTGGTGGCAAATCTCGTTTTGGCTTACATTGATTTTTTCCGCCCCGCGATCGTAGGGATTTGGTTCTCCGCGTGCTCTGTGAAGAAGTAGACGCGCGAACATGTTCTAGAATACCGACTAGTCTAGTCTCCGTTGAAATTTGTGATTCCGTCTTCCCGTAGATAACCAACTCAACAAGCTAACCTTGATGTATCGAAGTAGTGGCATTTTCCAGGTTTCCAGTGTCTCGTTTCGTTAGAATAAAATGAGTAATATGGGTCGTATCGGAATTGCCTCTTGTTCTCCTTTGTGCTGTGATAACACCCGAGGCCTTCTTTCCAGGATGATTCCGAGAACACGGACGAACTGTTCAGCAGCCAGAACGCAGTGCCCATGCTGGGCTTGAGCTTCACCCGGTCCCGGCTGTTTATCGACTGCGCCTCGGCCCAGTTCGACGAGGCCGAGTACACATGCGTAGCTGAGAACCCGTACCACCGCGTCAGCAAAACAACCAAGGTCAAAGTGTCCAAGATTGGCGGTGCTAGATCCAGCCCCATGTGTCTAGTCAAGAAGTCCTTCGGTGAGTCGGCGTCAGGTCCGCCTATCTAACTCCATTATATAGTCACAGCCCAAGAACAACACGGCAGCGTCGGCCTCGATCCAGACGTGTACAAGGGTTCAAAGAAAGTAATTAAGTTAAGTTACTGAGTATTGACCTCAAAAGTAATTTGAGTAGAGTAGAAATTACTCAAATGAAAAGTAATTGAGTAACCCACTAACTACCGAACAAAGGTAGTGAATTACTTTAGAAATCACTTTTTATATTATTTATGGTAACAAGAAAGTGGTACATATGGTTTATTCGGTTAGCGAAATCCGGCTAAGCAAATATAAAGCCATTTTCTGCCTTTTTTTTTTTTTTTCAAAACTCTTGAATAGCTGATTTTGCTTGTGCGTGCTTTATTATTATTATTATTTTTTTTTTGTCATTGTTGTACTGCGGATGTATCATTTCTACTTTGAAGTTTCGCACTGCCTGAGCATGATTTTGAGGATAGTGTTCGCTTATTTATTATTTTGTTTTATGTAAAAACGTTTGGGAATTACTAAGGTTTCTCGAACCACCTTCGAAACTTCGAAGACCTGTATAGTTTTGGGAGGAAAGGCAATGTAAAAAATTCACCTTTGATTTCCCCTTAACACGTGATTTTTCAAGTACAGCACAAACCACAGGAGAACTACATGAGCTTCAGAGCGGGTGCTGAAATTTGTAGACTCCTTTGAGCGTCGATGCGTACAGAGCCCTGAAAAAATAGCCTTCTCCCTGGATTGTCTCGGCTTGAAGACTTCCTCCTCTTTGCGAATATCAGCTTATCTTCAGACATCTTATTTGTTTTTGTGCGCGAATGTTTGTTTATGAGCAAACCTACTACTAAATTTCGAAAGTTATTTGTATTTTGAGCAGGGGTTACTCGGAAAAATGATTAAACTGCTAGTTACACAAATAAAAATGTAATTTAAATTTACTAAGCTGCTCAAAGAAGTAGTTAAACTACAGTAACTTGAGTAAAGTCGTTGAATTACGTACAAGTATGCCTCGGGGGGGGGGGGGGGGGGGGAGGGGGGAGGGGGGGGAGGGGGGGGGGGGATTACGTCGTCATCAGCGGGCAGCCTCGCCATATAAGAGCAAACACGAGGCCATTAGGAAACGAGGAGAGTTGGCATAATTAGCCGTACCCTACCTTTCTTACGTTATTCACGCCTCGCACGTTTCGAAAACAATGTGAACATTGTGAACCCTCATCAGAAAAGCTCATGACAAGTGTGGAACCTGTTTGCAACAGTTGTTACTCTAGATTACGGGACATTTCTCGATCCGGTTTCACCATTTTACTAACCTATTCTGCTGACGATATATCATGCATATGCATGGTGAAGAGAGCTCAAGAAGTCCCAGAAAATTCAATTATACGCCTCCATTCATTGCTTCCCAATGTGTTAATTATTGTACTTTACAGTTACATCATTTGGGCTATAAATCAGTTTGTCCAAGGGCTAGCATCCCTAGGCGTTTGGAAAACATACTAATATTAGGATTCTAGCAATCTTAGCAGCATCCTATATTGACTAGGAGTAACAACTCTACAAGCAGCACGCACGATGTACTATTGCACATACACAGAAACACAGACAGAGATGTAGTCAAGCAGGCTTGATACCGGAATCAGGATTATGCTGACTGTTTCACCGACTTATATAATCTACAACTGAAAACATTTAATTTCGCAGGTGACCGCCTTCAAAAATAGGAATGTTTCAAATATATTGCTTTGTTCTTCTCAATATTTTACTTAAAGCGTAATATATCAAAGTTCGAGGAATGTACCTCCAAGTCACAAGCATTGGTATAGGCAAGAATTACTCAGTATAGCTGCCAAAGAAATCTCCCCTAAAGCCTGCATGAAGCTGGTGTAAAGTCACTCACATCCTTTTCTCCAGCAGCACTCTTTTCCATACCGTTTTAGAGCTTTAAAAACCTAATGCTGTTCTGTCAGCGCAGCCCATTTTTTCTATTTAAAATTGCTTATTTCTTAAAATAAGGGTACTGAAAGGGTGTATCTCGTGTAGCCATAAAGGAAAATCCCTGGAACATCATTTTTATACCCTTAAAGAAACCCTAAAATAAAATTTAAAACTTTTAACAGCCTAGCTTTGACACTTTTTTTTATTTTTATTTTTCAGCGGAAAAGACGTTTGCGCAATATTTTCGCCGTTAGACGCAATTCGTGGCCCGCTCTAAGCCCTGCCCAGAGATCAGTGGCCCGCCCATTATTACTGGATTGGCCTGATCGCTCGGCCGAACATGCTCTCAAGCCTAGTGTCTACCTGTCCAACACCACATAGAAGAATGAAAGCCTCCACATTGCCTCCTCTCCCTTCATGAGACGTCATCGGAGTCGGATCGCGCTAACTCGGCTATTGGGCCCGAGCCCAACCTTCGACGCGCTGATTGGACACGTGCCCGGACCGAACACTGACGCAACACTCGTGCCCAATCTCAGGCCTCGAGCGATCTGACGGTGATGACGGTAAGGAGGCCTTCTGCCAAGGTGGTGTTGACCTGTCGCGACGTTCGGTGCGTCTGGTCTGGCGTCTGATCCCGCCTGCTAGTCGTGCGAGCAGACGCTCGGCAGCCGCTGGCATCGTCTGCTATTACACCACCATTTATCATCATCAGCAACACAAGTAAAACGTGGCCATGAAAGAAGTTCGTCCGCGTCTCCCGCATCGCTCGCCGTCCGTCTGCTATTCCACACCCATCTCAAACTGTCCCCAACGCTTGCACGACGCGACCATGAAAGCGGCGTCCTAGCATGTCATCACGCTGGAGCCACGGTTCAATACAAGCGTCTGTCAGCCTCTGTCGATATGCGGTAGAAAGTAACCGAAAATTTAAAAAAAAATAAAGAAATGCAGTCCTTTCAGCTTTACTCTTCTTGTTTTCTTGCATAGCGCTCGCGAGCAAGGTGGTATAAGCGCCATGACGCACAATTAAAACGCGACCTAAAAACATTTACTTTAGCAAGCCAGGTGCGCTACTCAAAACTTGAGAACTACGGACCTTCTAAAGTGAAATGACGGTGACATACCTGAACATGCGAACACCCTATTCATTCCAACGAAATAGCTCGCAATTTCTTACCTGTCTAGGTTACCTCTCAGTATTGATACCATGGTCGCAATCATGAAGGCAGCACGATTGTCAGAGTAGTGGGGCCGCTTTTATGCAAACCAACTCATTTATTCAGCATGAGAAGGCGGAAATAAAAGAATCAAGCCAGATAAAGCAAAATATTAGACATGGGACGCTAGGCTTACGTATAGTCCCGCTACAAAAACAAGCACCCGCGTAGCGCTTCTGAAGGCGTGTATATGAGACAGTTGTTTGCTGCAGACTGCGTTGGTTGAGTATATCTTCCTCTAATGAACTCGGTAAACGCTAAACGACTCGCACTCATAAAAAGAGGCGTGCTCAACGAGCTTCGCGGTGCGTGAAACCGTTGGCCGCAAACGCCGGCAGCCATGTTTGTTGTCGTTTGATACCAAAGTGGAAACGACGATCTCGTGAGGTTTTTGAAAACAATATTACTATCTAGATAGATTGTTTCTCAAACATAACACAAAAACAAGTAAAAGGCTACCGCGGCACGGAGACACAATTTTACAAGGAAGAGTCCATACGTCAATACATTTCTCCAACCAATGAGACCAGAGCAATGGAGCGTAGCTGGCTACGTTCCTGGATGGGCCTCAGAGCGGGTTACCTCCACCTATATTGCGTCTAATGGCTTAAATATTGTTTAAAAAGATTTGATTTTCCGCGAAAAGAAAAAAAAAACGTGTCTCAAATAAGCCGTTTAATTTTTTTTTTTTTTTATTCAGTGTTTCTTTAACGCTGTAAAATAGTTTAGTGTGTAGATCTCACTGTCTTCGTAATAATATTGAGCTGCTAGGGTTCAATGAGGTCTTATAGGGCTTATTTCACGTCACAGCTTAAGCATGCCGCGATCTGTCTGGGAGGAGGCTTGGATAGCCAAATCCATCGATCGCGCAAAAGAGAGGTCTGAAGAAAGTTTCGTTCTTCTCGTCCCTCTCTCAGATCACCCTGGAAGTCCTGCCAGGATTACGATGTGGACTCACACTCGGCTGGAACTGATGGGAAGCACGGTCCAGCTGTTCTGCCGTCCCAGCGGCTCCCCGAAACCCGCTGTGGCCTGGTTTGGCCCCGACGACAACGCACTCCAGAGCGGCGACAAGTACAAGGCAAGAAAGCCTCAGTTTCCCCGACTTTCAGTGCGGGATGGTGACACGTAGAATTCGTCCCTAATGCTCGCAGGTCCTTGACAATGGCGATCTAGAGATCCGCAACATTGCCTGGAACGACATGGGCGGCTACACGTGCGCGGCCGAAAACTCCCACGGCGTCGACCGGACATCCACCTTCCTCTACCCCACGTTGGTGAGAAATTTCGAAGATTTATGACTTGTAGCGGCGGGTATTTTGAGGATTGTGGCTACGTTTACATGAAGGCGACGTGACGTAGTTGGCTTATTACAATGATCTCTTTACTCCCCCCGGAACATCGATTGGCCTCGTCGAAGGTACATGAACAGTTGACTCAGTTCTTCTGAGTCGGCAGAATAGAGGAGTGGAACGCCAGAATCGATAGGCATGTACGGCAGCCGTATAGATTCGTGAGCGTAGCTCGATGTGAGGTCGTCTTGGGAGCCTGCTCTGCCGACTTTTCAATTCAGTCACCCAGTCATTGAGTCGACGTATCCCTGTGTGTAAGCGTAGCCTGTGTCGCTGCGATATGTTCCCTGGCTCACCAGAGGCCCTCTGGTTGTCTTTTTGCAGCCGGACAAGGCTTAAACGCGTTGCCCCAGGAGCTGTGGTCGCTTCCGCTCTTGTGATGCGTCGTCGGACACGGCTGGATCGTTGTACATAGCGTCGTTGAACATTCCAATGGACTGGCCGAGGTCCCGCTTGGACAAGCCTGGCTCACCTCTATTTATTGTCTCCCCGTTCCATCCGGTCGCTCGGTGACTCCCGGCGGCCGCGCTTTGCCCCGCCTCGCGCCAGCGCTCGTCTCGCTACTCGCTAAGTGAGCTTGATTCAGAAGCAACTGGTGTACATAGGAATCAATGTATAGCAAGAAAGCCTCTATGTTGTTTCGTCCAGTTGTGTTGATTAAAAGTTTGTACCATCGTATCCGCACCTTGCCTCGTTGCCCCGTTCTTCTTATCCGGAGCTTGGCTCATGGCCTTGACCAGCAGAGCTGCTGAGCGTTCGTGCGTGGTTCTTTTGGAAGTTCGGACGTACCCCACGTTTCGGAGAGACAGCAGGCAAGATGTGGCGCTTTGTTGAGTGCTGATCACGGTGGAGAAGGAGAGGTGTCTGAATGGCGCCGCCTCACTACGGAAGTGTGACGAAGGTTCGCTCGCATTTCTGACAAACGCCGTGAGATAGCGTAGTACGTAAGAAGCCGATGACAGCCAATCAAGGAACCGTCCTTATTTGCGCACAAGCTTACACGGCCGCACGGCGCACGACCGCGCCTGCGCGAAAGCTTCTAAGCTGCTCATGCCACATAAGCACGAAGCCCGAGCCAAAGTTTCCCTCCTTGGCTGGCCTTGCTCAGACATCTCTCTCTTCTTCCACTATGGTGCTGATTATTCCCCTCCCCCCCCAAAAAAAAAAACAAAAAACAAAACAGTTTAAAACTGCCCGTGCGTCTCTCACACCCTGCAAGGCACGTGAACCACCAATCACTGCAGGTTGCGAAGTAGGTCCAACAAATGCCAAGACCGGAGAACCGGAGAAAACGTTCTAAATCAAACATTACGATTTACAAATGGTCACTGATCATAAGAAGCATCAAGCCTGTGTGCCTGTGCAAATTTAATTTGTAGATCGAATTGTTTCTGTTGCACTTTTCTTCTTAGCTTCTTTACTGGTGTTCTGCATGGAAGTAGACGCGCGGGAAGTTCTGAGTGAAGGCCCCCACCCAGTGCTTAAAATCTCCCACCGGTGGCAAGGGGTCTCTTTTTTCACGTTGGGGGTTAGTGGGACATACTTTGACGAGCAGCTTGCCTTTAAAATAATGGCATGCACATTCATCCAAACGCTGACAGAGCGTTCCGTTATCTCAGTCGAACGCTGCGTCAGAAACACGCCCAAAATATTTATGTTGATCCCGTGGGTTTAGTTCTCAGCTTTGCGGCTAGCGGCGCGACAGTTGGATCTACTCCCCAAAAGGGACTCAGACCCCCCGTCGAAACCTGTGTGTGTGTGTGTGGGGGGGGGGGGGGGGGGGGGAGGAAGGGAGGGAGGGGTCTGAGATCTCCAAAAGCCCCCCTGACTTTAAACAGTGCCCCCACCCCTGCCTTATTATCGTCACAGTGTGACGATTCTTAACTGAGCATTATTTTTAAAGATGCGAATAGTCCTACAGAACTTACCATTTCACTCCTGTCACTAAGATGAAAATGTCCCACCACAGACGATGTCCCATCACAGATAGCTCATCGGTAACGTCCCACCGCAGACTTTTTTTTTTTAAAGATATATATATTTTTTTTTTTTTTACTGTTAAAATAATTTCCAGCTTCCAACACAGAGTACGTGGAGAGCAAATAACATTGACATACAGAGCGGCCCTAGCGTATGGAATCGCTTGAATGGGCTGCGAAAATTTAGGTCACAACATTTTAGGGCTGAGATACTCCAATGGGACATTGTCAGCATCCTAGCGCAGCGCAGTGCAAAAAGTGAAAACCCCGAGGATATAAAAAATGTACCGAATACATTTTTCGAGTTTTGGAAATTAACGTATTTTGCGATACCAGGAGGGCGCAGTTATACCTCATTTCACCCTACGATGAACTGAAGACCAAAGTTACAGGCTGCCAGGTCCAATCACGAGCCAGTTAGAAACCAGGTGGTGAATCACTTCGACGTGCGTATCAGTGCGCGAGCCACGGAAATACGCACGCCGGAATAATAACGCGTGGTTTCTTACTGGCTCGTGGGTACACCTGGCAGCCCGTTGCTTTGTGCTTCAGTTTAACGTAGGGAGAGACGAGGTATTGGCGAGGGGATCAAACCATAGGGGTTGCTATGTCCAGCTTGTTTTCCCCAGAGCTCTGCGTTTACCAACAGAAGGCACGTGCGCGGGATTCTTTACTTAATCTTTCTCGATTAAGGACGGGACAAAGTTTGGGCTCGACTCGGGCCTAATTTTTTGCTGGTTCCGCGTTCGGCTTCACTGATTGAACACGAGCCCTAGCCGAAATCTGACGCAACGTTCAGCTACGTGGGTCGAGCGCTGCGTCACCATACAAGCAAATAATCTATATTTTTGTGGTGCCCATCGGTGTAGTTCTCAATTTAGCCACTAGGGGCACCACGGTTGGATCTCCTTCCCAATAGTAGGGTTACTTTTTCCGAACAATTTAAGCTTGTTTTTGTTTGTGGGTGTGCGAATACTGCTTCGAATCAAATAGCGCGGTGTCATTTTTAGCTTCAACTTTATAAAAACAACCGCCAGTTCTTGTCTTTAGTTTGCAAAGCGAAAGCTATGAACGATGCCGTCAAAGTCAAATTAGAGTTTTTTTTTCGTGCCAAACTAACGAAGGACATTTGGCACGCCCCAGCGGAGGACTACTTCGAAATACGCCTCCGTCAGATTGTTTGTACCTAGGCAGAATTCGAATTTGCCTCCTGGAATCTGTACGTCAACGCATTGCCTCAAAACCAACAGCTTTTTTTTAGAATTAGAGCATTGCCAGGGTGTCAGCGACAGAAGGGAAACACGTCTTCACAGTACTTTTTCCATAATTTCATACCCTTGACAATGTGCACTCTTCAGCTCATTTACGTTGGTCAGAATTGTTCCTGAGCTATCCATTTCTTCGTCGTCACATTTCGACAGTATCGTTATGACGATATACATTCATTATGTATTGTTAGGGCGTGTCGCCACAGTTAACATACAGGGTTTTTCTTTCTAAGCTTAACGGATTTCATTAAAAAAAAAAAGCCATGAAAGGTACACTAATGCGGTTTGTTCACGTGGGTTATACGGCCAGGAGGGCATAATATAAGAGGAGAATCGTCACGATCAGTCGAATAATTAACTAAAGTTTGTTAATACACTTTATAATTAGTGAAAATAGACATATGGTCTAAATAAGAAACTTGCTGATCGTCATCAAAAACCACTAAATCAGCATTTTTAGAAAGAATTTCAGTCATGGAAGGAGTAGTAGAGCGCTAAAGTTACCACTCCTGCAACAGGCACGAGGCTGGGATGAGACAACGGCGATGATGAGAGGCGGAAAAGCGGCGCGGGCGCCTTATCGCATCGATAGCCTTGCTCCTGCTTCACAAGTGGTAATTCTTAAGCGCTCCACCGTTCTTCTCACGTGCTCCGAGTCTATCTAATATTGACTGATTTATTGGTTTTCGATTACGCTTAGCAAGTTTCTAATGAGAACCATATGTTTAGTTGCAATAATTAAAACGTTAACATATTTTAGTTAATTAGCCGACTGATTATTAGGATTAGCTCCCTTTACTATGTTCCCCCGGCAGAAAAACTCATCTGCACAAGCGGCATTACTGCAGCTTTCACGGCTTTTTTTTTTTTTAACAAATCTGTTAACCTTAAAACGAAACACCCTGTATTTGTCTGGTCTCTCTCATTGGTTCCTGACATCATCAAGCCACGTCTCTGGCTTATAAGTGTATTTCCTTCTCCCATAGGAAAATACCATCCATAAATTGTCATCACCAAAAGCTAAGCGAAAATTCGCTTCCTTTTTTCAGACCACGCAGCCAAGTAACAGGAATGGCTTTTGCCACTGAGTGTGCGTGATGATTGGAGCGCGCTTTCGTCCAACCTGCTCACTAGCTAAGCTGATCGGCGATTCCCCAAATGTGTCGCGGGACAGTCTGCATGCAGGCTGATAGTGACTGTAGGCTGGCAAACCGTTATCTCAATGTAAGTAAGGACTAAAGACCTCCAGGACACCAGACTGCGTCCACAGACCAAGAAGGCATTCGAGAGTAGCTGACGGCGTAAGGAGCAATGCCTGTTATGATCACGCCTTTAGCGTCCTGGGCGCTTCTTTGGCATTCTTATCGGCTAATGTCGTGCTCTGATTGGCCACAGAATGAGATGCCCCGGGCTCGCCACGCCCTGAATTTCCTACGCTGTCGTTGACAACTTAAGTGCTACGAGATTCCTCGCAAAAACAAGGCTAATGTTCTGCTGAAAAAAAAAAAAAAATTTTTTTTTGAAACATGATATTTTTATTATTGTGCTAGGTTTTTTTTAATAGTGTCTATGGTGGCTTCGCCAGATGGTTTGCAAGGAAGTATAGGTGCGCTAAATTGTTTGAGAGTGACAAAAGGGCTTGTTAAAAATATTCCCATTTTCATTGTCTGTCGACCTTCATTAGTGACCTAAGGCTCCCATATCGACATGGGCAGCTTTCGTGACCACTCCCCCCTGTTCAGTTCCAGATTTTCACGACACGTAGCGCACCAGCACTAAAAAGACAGCAGTGGAAAAAAACTAATGTCACAAGCACAGGATTTCCGCGTCAGCATCAGCATCGGTCACTACTCTGGCAGCTTTAGGTGCCGCGCTGAGGTCAAGAACTCGCTTTAAGGCTCTCTTGTTCTGCTTTGTAAGGTTCGTAGCCTTTCGACGGGGGTCGTGTACGCATAAAGCAGAAATCCGTCATCCTAGAAAATAGCAGACGACGGTACGGCAAGCACTAGGCTCCACGGCATCATCGGTGCACAATCAAGATAATCGAGCATGCCAATAACGCGTACGTATGATTTGGTTCACGTGTGGCGGTCACACGTGAACCAGTGGCGGTCACACGCCGCGAATGGTCACCATATTACCATAGCAACGGTCCAAACTGGCTCGGTTCCCATAGCAAGCAACTTCTACATAACGTTTATAGAATTATACACATATACTGATCCCCACACCAAGAAAGTTTGTTTCTTCAAACACAATCTCGTTCCCACTTGTGGAATAGCTTCTTTCAAAGCCCGAGTACTTCCTTGGAGGCTTATGCACACAACCTTTTGGCTTGTCGTGCTTATCGTTGGCCATTTGTATTAGTTACCGAGTAGAATTCTCATAAATCTTTCGCAGATGGTGTACGCTGACTGAGTGCCGTGACATTAATCGACAGCCTCAGGGTACAGTAGCAGTGGTTTAACCCTGCCTTGAAGAGTTTAGAACACACGGGCGCGTGGCAAGCATGCCACACACTTTTCTGAATATCCCAGTATGGCTTCGAGCACCGCAACGGATTGGGATTTGCGAAATACAAGCTTTGGGAAATGCAGCTTCAAATACTTGTTTTTGTATTACACCACATTGGAGAGCAGCCTAGCAGTGTTCAAAAGGTGCTGATTTGCCTGTCCGAAATTTTTCCCTGATGCCTCAGTGGAGATGACAGCCCTCGTACACGAACCATTTGGTTCATCTTGATCGACCTGTTCACAATCCACTTGGGGTGCCCACACATCTGCCTTTCGTTTTCTGCTTTTCGGTCGAGATACTGACGCCTTTAAAACAGGTTCTCTTCGGGCTTTCTTGGTTTCAGGCGCTGGGTTCTCCGAAGACCCATCGAACACCGTGGGCACAACTCCAGGAACCAGATTTTTTACGCGATATCCCGACGCATTATCCTCCGGTTTAAAGTGCCTGGTACATCCAACCACAGATGGGGACTTGTCGTAGGCAACATGGTTCTTTCTTGATATCTTCTTTTTCCACGCTGTGCTTAGAAATTCATCGCTGTGAAGTTTGTAGAAAGACACACCAGAAGTCTCCTCCAATGGTGACTTGTAATTCGGGACACAATACTATACCATTGGGCGACGAGAAAGACTCAGTGAGTGGCAGTGTTTTTGTTACTGTACAATACAATGCAATCTTTATTTGTTAAAGCCGCTTTATGCTGAAGGTAGCGCCATTTATTGATCCTCCGACACGCTCTCATCCTCTAGAAAATCCTCCTCCTCCTCTTCAAAGTTCCTCTTTCCACTACCACCGATCGGCCGAGCGTCCGTCCGGTTACGGTTCGCCACTTCCGTTCGCCATTTGTGCCCTTCCGTGTCGCGGCCTCGCATTCTCCGACGGCGTACATACTTATTCGCTCTTTCTCGCGAGAGTTGAACCGTGGCAGCGCCAGTGTACAAATAGCCCCCAACCACTTCCGGTTCTGAACTAGACGGCGGGTTTCGTCGTATTGTCAATATCAAATATGCACGCTACCTTCTGGAAATGGCCACTTACTGCACTGCCCGACTTAATTCACTCTTACTGTAAAAAAAGATGATCAGTAAAAAAATTAGTAAATATACGTGAACCGGAAGTGTGCCGGGGCTACCCAGTAGATGGCGCCACTGAGTTTGTTCCCAAACAAGAAAGTGCAAATGCGGAGAGAAAGTGTTCAAAAATGCGTCTTTGGCGCATCGTAACGCAAAGAGGGGCACGGTATACAGTGTGTTTCATGAAAGGTGGACAAATTTGATATTGCTGAAACTACGCATCGCACCAAAAAAAGCCTTGTGTCGTTGTGGTCCCAGGCCACGGGCCTATTCAGGAAAATTATTAAAGTTTGGGAGAATTAAGTTCTTAGTTATTTTCGCCTAATTAATGTTTTTAAATTTTGAGTTTAAGGGAATGGTTTTAATAAGAATCTTGCTGAGCATCATCAAAAAACACTAAATCAACAAATTGCACCACGGTAGAAGGCACGCGCGGTATTTCAGGGCTTTCTGAAAAACCGCACAATTTTGACCGGTTTTTAAGTTTCGGTTTGCAATCGGAGCGCATCTCGGCTTAGACGGCACGGCACCCCGTAGAGAAATAGCGCAACCAACCTCTGCTGCGTTGCGCGAGGCGAACGAAGCAGAGGTTGGTTGCGCTATTTCTCCACGGGGCGCGGTGCTGTCAGTGCCGCGAAGCGCTCCGATTGAAAACCGAAGCTCAAAGACCCGTCGAAATTATGCGGGTTCTGCAATTTGTTATTTAGTGTTTTCGTTTTCGGCGCACGCCGAATTTTTTTATTTTTTTTTTTTTTTTTTTTTTGCCAATAGAGCGGATGTCGTGTGTTCTTCTTTTAGAAACGTCATCGAACTGCCGCTATGACGTGGCGTTACTAAATCACTGGCGCCTGGTTCAAACCGGTTTTTCACGTTTTTTTCATTTAGTCGTCACTTAGGCGTGTAAAGGCAGAAAAAAAGGCACAAGCAGTGATATTTTTTGTCGACTGCTTTGGAAACGAGTGAGTCAGCGACACGGAAGCTACGGTGTGCATTGCTCCGTTCGCAGCGTAAGGTCCCGGCTTCGCATTCCATGACAGAAATTAAAATGTGTGCGCGCTTATCGCATTGGCTTCCTTGTCTGCGGAAGAGGAAGTAGGATTAAGACGATCTGCCTCGCAGTTCAATATTATTGCATGAATGTTTTTTTTTTTGTTTTTTAAAGAGGTATATTGCATCTGTTATCGAACCGAATGATCCGAGCAAACGCACAGCCGAAGCCTCGACAAAACTCGCGTGCCTTCTCCAGACATGATGCTGTGGAAAGGAATACCCAGTAGCCCGTGTTGGGTAAAGCACATCTAAAAAATACTTGAAGTACAGAGTAAATGAGAGGTGAGATACTTCAAGTAAAGCACTAGTACACTGGGTGCAACTACTGGATGTAGTTGAAGTAAAGCACTAGAAATACAATGTACTTTCAAAGTAAAGCACAAGTACTTTTTAACACAATCTTTCACGATGTCCTTACATCGCATACAGTTATTTTTTTAACTGGTATGCATTGCCCCAGGAGTAAGGGGTGTGCATCACTTATTTTTGGAATTTGCGCGAATATTGGATAGAATCAAGTGGCCACAGAGTAGTTAACTTCAGGAATATTGCGAAACTCCGAAATCACTCAAACTTCAAAATGTGAGGCCGCTTGCACCGGCTTGTTGCACCCAAGGGTATTAAATGCACTAGGAGGGAACATAGGGCCGCTTGCACCGGCTTGTTGCACCCAAGGGTGTTAAATGTACTAGGAGTGAGTATGACGTCAGCCCCGTAGCTTCCACAAGCAATTCTCTCGTGAAGGAGTGTCCTCGCAACAAAAAAAAAAACTGCATATGCAGGCGGGCTGGTGGTACCAAATTATAATGTGACACCTAAGACTGTGGTGTGGAAATATTAAGGAACTTTGAAGTCGAAGGAAGAGAGAATGCCTCAACACATTGAGACGTTCTCCTCTCTTTTCTTTTTCTTAAGCTTGAAAGTTTCTTAATTTTTCCACACCACAGTCAATATGATTACAGCCCTGCATACCCGCGGATTACCCGCGGATATCCGCAGTACACTAGTAGATACGGATAAAAATAAATAAGATTTGGCTGATTGCGGATCGAGTGCGGATACCAGGGGCTACCGATGCGGATCGGATATCCGCGGGTGCGGATTCATTTTTGCCAAGGCAGCCCATGAACGTGTGCGACCGTATAGTGTAGAGTGAATAAGTGAGTGATACTATGAAGCGTGCACAATTGAATGTATTGCAGGGGAAAACTACTCTCTTTAGATGAAATGTGCAAATCGAGGAGAAAATTGTTATTTACGTCAAGAAAGATTTGATTCTCATCAAAGGTCGCTTTAGAATGTTCTAATTTGCCAAAAATACTGTGCCTAGAAAAAGTAAAGGACGCAGAACTATCAGCCATCCCGGGAAGCGTGTTCTTGTTTGGCAGGGAAAGAGCGTAAAACGTTTTTTTGGGCAAAGATAACCCAAAACGTACAACTCACAAGAAAGTAGAAGCCTGCAAGTGGCTTCTTCACCTACAAGTTTAAATTTAGGAGACTGAATGCTGTCCTCTGGAGTGGTGGAATTTGCGCCAGCACGAGTTTCTGCTTCTCATTATTGTTGCGCAGTTCTTGCATACCATATCTTAGCATCAAGTGCACCAACGGAGAGGAACTTCTCAGAAGCGGGTATTTATTTGAGAGGCGAACCAGTTTGAATCTGTCCGAGATGACCATATTCTGTTTATTATGCACAGCAACCTCGACAAGTGATACGTTGGGTGTTTGTGCGTTTTTTTATTCTCGACCGTTTGGCACTGAGTTGTTTTAAGTATATGGTTCCGAGCATCCAGTTGAGGGTTCGTGTTTAAAACTGTAACCGATATGAGGTGTTGCCATTATTGAATATTATGATATTTTCTCAGTGGTGTACTCGCGCCTTACCATCATATACACGAGTATTTTGCTGCGGCGAGTCAGAGCCTTTTCTTTCTTACTTTTTTTATTGTTTGGCCTAAATAAAATGACGCGATGTTATTGCTTTGTCCTTTGTCAATTTTCATATTTATAAAATATGCGTCTGCTTGAAGTGGGTTTTACAAAGCAGAAAGCAAAATAAATATAAATGTCCTTCCTTTTGAGCGCATCTTCTGGACAGAGTATCAGTGTCACGGACTCCCAAGACGATCTCATAACTGCGATCATCTTTCGAGCGATGCGAAGGGTCTCTGGAAGGATGATCGCTTATTTCATAAATAAGATAAAACAAAATACGATCAAATGACTTTCATCGTATTCTTACATGGAGAGTTTTTTTGTAGAAAGGTAAGTAGACGGACGATAGGATACCGTCTAGATGTTCTTTTTTTTTAAAGTTTATTCATGCTTGATGTTGCGTATGCAATACATGCGCGGATTGAGAGTCGCGCGGTTCCGAAATGTGCGGATGCGGTAAGGATGCGGATATGAAGTTTGTGGATGCGGATGAGATACGGATACAGTTATTTAAGAAGATTGCGGATGCGGATCGGATACGGATACGAAGTCTGCGGATGCGGATAAGATGCAAATGATCAAACTGTTACCCGCGTAGGGGCTGTAATAATGATTAATTGTCCTCTCCTAATATGTTTAACCTCCTCGTTTGCGCTAACCAAGCGATAAGTAAGAGAGTTCGAAAATCTACGGAAAAGTTACCTTCCAGAATGAATAGAGCGATGCGACTTTTGCTCGCGTTTCTGGTGAGTGTGAGAGTGGTATATCCCTCTCAGTATTTCTTCAGAGTTGTCAGAGCATAATTTTGGTATTCAAATTTAACAAGACCGAACTCGGGCATGTACGTTGAGTTTGGGAGTTGTACTTTCCTCGGAAAGTACCAGAAAAAATACTTTAAGTATAAGTAAATACGCAGACAATGTAAAGTAGAAGTTTTCTAAGTCCACTTAAATTAGTACTTTAAGTGCAATGTACTTAAAATACTTACAGGGACTTACAGTACAAAATTATGACGGAAAGTACGTATATTTACAGTGTGGAATTTTAGCATTAAAAAAGAATAGTAGGTAAAATCGAAAATAAAAACAGCTACCCTTTATTTTGCTGTTTAAATATACTACTGCTCCTCGAGAAACCGCCCTTTAAGTGGCGCGCTGGGATGAGCGCCAGAAGTTTTCAAGCTCGCCACGACGTAGCTCCGTACACTTAACATCTGCCGAAAGTCGCGGCTTTGACTGCATTCAGGTTGGTCGAAAAGCGATTTCTCTGCCCGCGAAGCATCACTTCCAGCTGAGTGAATATCCGCTCTACAGAGATTAATTCGAGACGGCAATTGAAGCCAAATAGAAAAACAAACGTTACAATAGAAATACAGGCTACGACGTGCAGTATGGGGAAACAAACTAATGGCTTTGAACCGCATTGGAGCGGCTTGATTTATTGGTTTTGAATAATTACGGCATGATCTAGCGTTTACTTTTCAATAAGAGATTCTGCCCCTGAGCCATTCAAAATACCCTCAGATGTATGACATCGCTGGAAAAGAAATGAACATGCCGGGAATATTTGTAGATCCCGGGTGTAGTGCTCCGGTTAGTGTGCCGTTGTATTGATGTTTCTATGTGCCATGTATGTGTATGCGCTCAAAGTATGTTCACCTGATGCTTGTAGTATGTGTAATCTGTCTACATGTGTGTATAACAGAGGTCGCAGAGGTTCCCGAAGATCCGTAGGCGTAATAGTGGCCTGAGGAAACAAAAATATTTTTTGTAGAACGTGAATTGGGCGGTATCTAGCGCCACCTAGGCTAGCTAGCTACTTGCAATTACTCTGCTTGACCCTGCCATCTGGTGGCAAGCGATTTAACCTTCTTTCACGCTACGCTACGTTACAACAGCTGCTTCGAGTTTGTTCTTTCGAGAGCGGCTTCTGGTTTCGCGGATTGGTTTTTCATTTCTCCGTGATGTGCGGTTGACGAAGGAATTGTTACTCGAGAAGCAGCAAAGGTAAGACGTAAAGTGCGCGAAGTAACTGGGTATCGGTTCTCTCCGTTTAACATCGCAGTGCTGTCGACGAGAAGACTAAGTAACTGCTTTCGAAACGGAAGTTTCTGTACCTGTGGGGGGAATCTGGCTTCGGAAATAAACACAGCTCGCGGAAAGTTCGTGTTACGCTTTTATTTGCTGCTCCTCTCGTCCCGTTAAGCCGTCGTAGCGTCCTCGTTAAGCCTCACTGAGCTCGATTTCCTCGATTCAGGGCTGCCATATTGAGATTCAGGCGACGGAGGAACTATTTGCTCCCCTGCTTCAGGGACGAAAGTGTCACCCTTTCTCAAGGAACATAGGTTAAAAAACCGTTCCTCCCCTTAGGGAGGACTATCGATACCCTTTTTCTAAGAGCGCAGCGGCCTGCAGCGCAACAGAGCACGCGGGCGAGAGATGTGTGTGTGGATGCGTC